TAATCTAGTTGCTACTCTAGACAGAAGGTACTGTTTCAAGCTGTGCTATGTAGGAACAGCTGGAAAGCTGTTTGGAACTCTAATGATATATATCGAAGTCATAGCTAGGCTGTATTGCTTATATACATATATAGACATAAGGGCTAAAACATAATACATTAAAAAGCGTATTAAAAAAAATAAGAAAACATATTGTCATTTTTACCAATAAAAACAAAACGCGGATGGCTATCTTAAAGAGTTTACCAGGAATCATTTGGAATTCATGAAACTATTCTTGGCACTGGAGGTTTTAAACTTGACATAAAAAACCCTGGCATGCCTGGGAGTAATTGTGAACTAGACGAGGCAGGCAACAGTGTCAAAGAGCCACTGACAAAGGTGCTAATGGGGAACCATCAGACTGGACTTTAGGTCTAACGCAGCTAAGCCGTCTTTTTGTAATGCACTCCAAGTAATGGATTAAATATTTTAGCAAGGAAGGGTATAAAAAAGGATCAGTAACCACAAACCCTATAATTAAAAACTGAATCATTGGGTAATGCAATTCTAGAGCTCTGATTGGCTTAGCCATCATGGTATATGAGCCATTATACCACGCTTTCCAAGTATGGTAACTGTACGCGTCTGCTCAAAATTAAAAACAAGCTTAAAATCGGTTGTTTTTACAAATAAAGTCGGGAAGAATTCTCGATATTTTGGGAGCATCTTTAACAAAACAATTATTCCAATGGCTCTACGCGCCTCGTTGGCTATATACGATCTCATATCCAACGCGCAATCGTGGAATAATTGTTAAGTAGATCAGCCTTTGCAAATGAAATCATCAAAGAAATTCCCTACCATTCTTTACAGCAGACTGAAATGTGGAAGGAAAGTTTCTCCGATATCGTACGTTAAGGAAACTTTCGTGTTTTGTTTTGTTATAATATGTTGGACTTGACAGGGAAATGCAGGGCATCATTTTTTCTTTAGTTAGATTATACCTAGTATGTTATTTCTATACCTTTCTAGTCAATGATATTACTATGAATTTCATTCCTAAGTGCTCACTTACTGACGAAATTTTCACGTAGTTCATTCCGTAATGCACAACAAATGAATTTGATAAAAGTTGCTTTCTTGAACATTTAGTATTCGAAAAATAAAACCTGAGTGAAAATTTTGCTATTATCTTGTTTTTTGATATTCATAGAGTGCTTAATTGGAAATGGAGAGCACAACAGTTCTACTAGCATTGCTTGCCCTGACTATTTGTAAGTATTACATCTAGTTTATGTTAAAACGTTCATAACCGCAGAGCGGTCGCTTAAAGGGGGAGGAGAAGCGCGTGTGGAATGTTTCGCCTTTAGGCTTGCCATAACCTAACTGTATATTTTAACACATTTTATCAACTATTTTTAAAAATCAGATTCATATTCTACCAACACTGTATCTGAGACAAATTTATGTTGTATTGCAGCACAAATGATTGTTGGAGTGAATGCTTACTGTGAGTACTTATTGGAAAAGCCAATTCTTTAATTTATTGATATTATTATATCGGATACTATCATTGTTAGATACTACAGCCGATTTCAGTGCTGTGTACAGATACATGAGGAGTTTTAGACATGATTCGACCGAGAGGTTACCAAGCAGTACAGTATTTTACCTTAAATATCCTAACGAAATCAAAGCACATATTATGAATTTACTTTGATGAGTATAGCTTGAATGTTTCGCTTGTGATTCAGAAAAAGAAGACCGTAATCCATAATTTTTTATCCTTTTCAGACAACAGTCTCTCACACAAGTCACGCAATCTAATCGCAATACATGTTATCTTGCGTGTCGTCTCGAACTACAAGTTTTTCGGTTCCATTTTGACCTTGTCATAAGGCTTCTACTTTAATCTTTAAAGAAGTATTCTATTTAACCCTTTGTCAATAAAAACTAATTTTGATTTCTTTTATGTAAGGTTGTCTTAATTTTAGCTCACTAGGGTCAGCAGGGTCCTAGTTCGAAGACCGTGATATTTTTCTGGGGTCCACAAAACAAAACTTTCAAGCAAATTCTTTCACAACGGCAGACTGATCAATTAATCTGTTGATTTCTTCTGCAAAACGTCAAGTCTTCCTGTTATGTTTTAACCATGTAGACGCTAAGTTAGGACGAAAAAGAGGCTACTTCAGGAAATACAACTTTGCCTCCCTGTTAACTACAAATGTAAATATACATCACTATTACACGTAAATTGCCGGCATTCACCAACGCCAAAATACCAAAACCTTGTCATACGGAAGAAGGCTAAACAATAAAACATCGGACTATTTCGCTTTTCGCCGCATTGATAATATTTCGTCCATTATGAAATCGCCTACGGAAATACATTCGAACTCAGCAATCGAACTCTGGCCAGGTTTATCTGACTTTTTTATTCATTCAAAATATTTTCTTGTTTCTGATTGGTTAAAACCACGCGCATAGTTCACCATAACCAGCAGTTGTTGACCAAATTTGGAAAGAGTTTTATAATACTGAACCGATGACGTCAAAATCATGCTGTAGCATGTCGCCGCTTTCCACGCGATAAAGCTTTCCTCTTCAGGTAAAACGCATTTGTCGGGATTCTAGCTTCGTTACATTTATGTCTTTTGCCATTAAGCTTTCCCTGCCAGCCAAATGTTTCTCTCACTGTTCAGCTGACTGTTTCGGATCCCACGGCAGAACTCTCGCCTGTCTTTATTTTTGCAACCGTTGGCGTATACTGCGAAGCCATACTTCACGTGATTAGTGTCGAATCACATGACCGTCGAATCATGTCTGAAAATCCGGGTGTGTAGATAGCAATGAAATCAGCTGTAAGAGCGGTAGAATAACTAAGATACATCTGATACTGCCTTTTGCCCTTTCCACTACCAGACTAAGAGCTTTCAGCGAATCCTGAATCTTAGACGCTCCAGTTTGCTCGCGGTCACGTACTCTTTCCATGCATTCCGCCTCGAGCGACCTGGAGAATCAGAATCGGGATCAGGCTACTTTAAGCCCTGATTTGGTTCGTTTAGTGTAGTCAATAGTCTACGCGTTTAGCGTTGTCACCGCGTTTTAGCTTGTGGTGCATAATGAGCAGTCTGGTAGCCTCGCTCAGACGAAAGATTCAGACCCGTGACAGGAGAGGGACGGATTGACGGACAAAAAAAGAAACATCCAAAGGAGGCGCCATGAAGCAGAGAAAGGGCAATCAGAGGGACGGTATCAATACACTGTGACTTTATTTTACTCCTTTAATTGCTCTCTTAGGATTTGGCTTCGAAGTCTGTAAGTAGCGTAAGTGTAATCACTGCAAGATTTATTATAAACGGTAAGTCTTCGGGGTCATTAATCATTTTAAAAGGTTGAGTTTGATCGTCCGGGTGAACGTAGTCCTGAATAGGACTGTTGTTGTTGACAGTGACTGACGTTTCGACAACCTGTGCGGTAGTCATCTTCAGAGTCAAAGTGAGTTGTATCACGTCAGTTGATGGTATTATACTCTGGTTATTGATCTGATTGGTCAATTATGTCGCGATGTTATTGGTCGTCTGTCAGTTAAGCCTTGATGTTATCGGCTATGAAGACTCGTAATCAGTGATTGGTGCGTTTCGATCCGTCTATTGTCACAGTTAAACAGTCGTCTATTGTTAGTCAAATTGTCAGTTCTCCAGTTGTTCTCTCGTAGTTAGTTTTGCTTGATCTCGTCAATAAGTTGTTTGTACGGCGCTGGTAACTGTTGGCTACGATTCAGTGGCGTTTGTTCTAAGTTAGTAAACCAGCTTTCTAAAGTAAGACGTTGATAGTAGTCTGTAGAATACGTTATACATGTCGCAGAGTCCCAGTCAATTTGATGTTTCGTCTTTAAATGGTGCTCAGCAATGTGATTGTTGACGTCACCATTCCTCGTCACGCGTTTGTGTTCGGTCAGTCGAGTGCTTAGGTTTCTGCCGGTTTCACCAATGTAAAAAGCCTGGCAGTCGCAGAATTTGATCTTGTATACTGCTCTCTGTCTGTCCTCCGGTTTGTCTTTTCCCGCCCAGGGAGAATTGCCATTATGCCGGTTGAAGTTTCATGCAAAGAAACTAAATCTCGTTCCTGTTTTAGGGGCTTTCTATGGCTCGAGTATACCATTTTCCAACTAATCATTCTTTGATAGATAGATAGATAGATAGATAGATAGTTTATTCTGATTAAAATCGCAGCCAAAAGCTGAATTAGATTAATCGTTACAATAATAAAATCTGATAAAAATATGAGAAAAATATAAGCAAAATGTACACATATGTAGCTAAAAATTTAATTACAGTTGCTATATATAAATGTGTTCTTAAATCTCTTAGCCTTAGCCAGAGAGACATTAAAATTTCTCTTTCGTCTTAAATTGGATTCACAATTTTTACGAGGTGGCAAGAGCTCATGCAGTTTATGGTCTGAGTTACAAGTGATGGAATCAAAAAGCTTAGTTGTGATAGACTGCCTGGGTCGAGAGAGCGTCTCCAAGTTGGCTTGATGTAATGCGTCGCTATAAAAATTATGGTACAAACGGAAAAATAATTCGCATGGCGCGCTTCTGTAGCTGTTCTAGCTCTGCGGATAAATATGCGGGAAGCGCGTTGTGAAACACCGGGCATGCGTATTCCGTTACTGGGCGGATACAGGTCAAGTAAAACATTCGCAGATCTTTGGCGGGAATATTCGCTCTCTTCAGTTGTTTAAGAAAATATAATCGACTCGCTACTTTTTTACTTTATCATTAAGGGTACAATCGTCGATGATTTAAGTGCCTAACCAGTATTGGAGGAAGTGGTGGGTTTGAATCTTATCTGTACCAGATAAATTACTGCCGTAGGAGAAACGAATTGCGGCGTCCCGTGGACAACGTTATCCACCTTTTGTGCTGGGGCCAGTTTCCCCGCGTAAAGCGATCAATGTATTATCTTTTTCCGAAACTAAAGTTGCTATTACATTTTTTAGCATGTCCGTATATGCAAGTCCTTCGTGGGTCGTCAGGTGTCATCACAAGTCCTAATTACCCTGGCAATTATTACAATAACCATAGATGCAGCTGGAAAATTACTGGACGATCAGGAGATCGAGTGAAGTTGGTCATTCAGGGTACGCAAATAGAAGGTGGAGGTGGTTGTCCATACGACTATATACAAATTCAAAATGGTTACTTACAGAGCAGCGGTTTAAATCCTGGGAGAATATGTGGTTCCAGCGGAACAATGACTCTTATTTCATCCCGTGAGACTCTTATAGTGTATTTCCGCACTGATGGCAGTGTAACAAGCAGTGGATTTAGGGCAATCTACACAATCCTACGTAACGGTAAGTAATAACAACCTTATCGGATCTGCTCTGATCACTTGTTGGTCCAATGTCTTCCCTTTTTTGCTTATACAATGTTTTGAAAGAAAATAATCACATCTACAAGAGCGTATTTTGGTTTCTTTTGTTTTTCATACATGTATGCTTTATAATATAACTATGTTTTTCGCTTATTTTATCATCTATCATAACAGCTAGTTTTTTGCTCCAGAGAGGAATTGGTGGTTTCATTGTTTAGCAAGATGAATGGTGTTTAATGGTGTGTTTAATTTCGGGGGCCGCCCAAATAAATAAAATTAACATGAAGTTTGTTTTCTTAGAGTCAATAACAAGAACAGAGTCATTTTATCTTTTAACCAATGATAATGTTTTACAATATCGGATGCCTTGCATATAGCTTTTAAGCTAATTTACGTCGGACAAGACAAGACGAAGGCAATGCCAAACACTCGGATTACAAAAGGAAAAGAAATACAAAGAAAGAAACACGCTTTCGCCACAGTAACATGTAAATTTCAAGTACAGTGATTTGTTATTTCAATTACAGGTGTGTAGACTAAAATTACCTCACCATGGGTAGCCCTTAACTTCAATGACCACTACGGGGGTGGGCCAGTTTTATGGGTGTCTTGAGTTCGAGTCTCGTGAGTTTGTTAGCTTTTTCCGTTGTTTCACACCCATGCAGCCTCCCATGGAGCCTACTCCTAAGGGTGTCATAACAGGTTTTCTCGCCACGAAAGTTCGTGGGCAACGAACGCGTTGCGGAGCCCTAAGAATGTCTGTGTAAGAGGCTAACCCACATGATGAGATGAGCGTTTTCGTCTATTTCAAGAAAAAGAATGTCATCTTTCCTTTGATTTTTGATTCAACGATTTGTTTTGTCTTCCAGCGTGCCCAAATATGGCGACCCTTACAGGGACGTCAGGCGTGATCACAAGTCCTTTTTATCCAGGAAATTATGGTAATGGCCAGACATGCAGCTGGAAAATCACAGCAAGTAGCGGAAAACGCGTCAAGTTGGTCGTTAACGACATGGACATAGAACAGGGTGGAAGTAATTGTGGCAAAGATTATTTACAAATCCAAAATGGTTTCTTATATGGTAGTGGTTTGTCTCAAGGACGATTATGTGGGACACGCCATAGAAACTCGATTTTTGCTTCTTACCGTGAAACTTTGATTGTACGTTTTGTCACTGATAGTTCCGGTCCGCGCCGCGGATTTAAAGCAACATACACACAGGTCGTCCCTGGCCGTAAGTAGCAAAATCCTTGTTTTGAGATTTGCCCAACACTGTCCATTTATGAAAGGAAAAGGCCAGTTCTTTAATAGCTTGTTGAGGCTTGTCTGGATATTTTATTGATCTTAACCATAAATTGTAGATCAAACTCTTTTGAGACTCCAGTTTTTAGGCAATACTGCTTTCAGGGAGATATGCGCCAATCCGTTCAAGGCAGAGCGCGAGCGCATGTCACGTAAAAGCGAACACATCATTGAGGCCAGCTGGCGATAAAGTGCCTAAGTTGAGGATGAAGCGCAACTCCTCGCGTCGTCTTGTTCTGAAAACAGCCTATGGCCGAGCCAATTTTCTTCTTACAGCGAAATTCGTTGTATCGCGTAACGTGCTCGCCCAGCTTGGCTGAGAATGACTCTAGACTGCTCAAGAATAGCGAAGGGAATCGCAACGGGAAGTGGATTTTTTGTCGAAAAAAGGAAGCCGACGTTGCTTTATTCTGGCAAGTGACAAGAATGAGAAAGATCATAAAAATCTGCGAAGCAAACTTAACTTGTCGATTATTGCCCGAAACAGGACGTTCACAAAGCAACGAACCTTGAAACACGTAACAAACAAAACGGATCGAGATACACCAATAAAAATCAAGAATCACAAACCATGACCTTTTGAACTTGTGCAAGTGAACATGAATTTCCTAAGAGGTCCGCTAAGATGATTGGCGGAACAGAAAAACCCAAAACATGCAAAACGCACAGCGCGATACAACGAATTTCGCTATAATAACGTTCCGCGAGTCTTCCAGAAAACGGTCGCCAATTTTCTTACCTTCACGTACAATAAGAGGCTGCACAGGACATATTTTCTCTGCCAATTTCAAAACTCGATTGAAACTAGTATAGAGCGCGTGGTTTGACATCTTTTAGGAAGAGGAGTCTCATAACTAGGAAGTCGGGAATACACTAACACCGGTACCGCTGATGTCATGCGCAGAAATCTCGTTACATTCTAGCTAAAATTGAAGTTGGAATTAGACGCGGATCACCCATGTGGGTGTCATGAGTTAGAGTCCCCTCAGACGTTAGCTTTTTCCTGTCTCACGTGCGTGCTGCCTTCTACGCAGACACTAGGGAACTTAAGATAGAGACGTTTTCGGGGCGACGGCAACTTCAACCGGACGTGACATCATCATTTGTTGGATATTGCGCATGCTCGTGTTCACCACCTTGCCGTCGTGGTCCCGTCGGCGACGTGAAACTGGTCTGTTTGGCGTTGTGGCGAAAACGTTCGTATTTAACTGTCATTTCATTTAGGTTTGTTGCGTTTAGCAACCAACATTTTGCAGATTATCGTTCTTAAATTGTCCTTGTTTTCTTTGAGGCACATTTCAAGCTCGATTTCCAAGCTCTGTTATCTAAACTCTATGTTTTCATGTCACAGGGTCAAGATCCAACTTGGCAAACAGCCAACCCTAAGTGAGCTTGACATGGACAAAATTTTCCTACGAGCCAAATAAAAGTATCCAGACAGAAATATGAACTCCGATATTTCAATTGTGTGCTTTTAGTTCGCTCTTTTCGTTAGAATATCGTATAAGTGAAACTCATTGAAAATTATATAGAATAGTAGGTAATACCATGTACTAACTCGGCGTGGGAATACTGAAATAAAGTTCTTGCCGTTGTTGTTGTTGCATGCAAGTATTTCCCGGGAATTATTTCAATACCAAACTAAGAATACGGTTCCTTGGTAGCATTTTAATGTTCCTGTAATTTGCAAGGCTTCGACAAGCCTGTGGAGATCATTTTTTTTTTCAACACGAAATTCTGCCTTGAACTCAGCTGCATCCCGCATGTTTTTTAGCGTGAACGGTCGTAACTGTCCCGAGGAAAATCGGGATTTTTGGACTCATAATTTTCCCACAAAACGAGAAACTCTTCATCCGATACATGTTGTCTGCATAGCAAATATTTATTCTTTTAATCCTTTATGTGAAGCCATATTTCCCTCTTCGGTATTCTTCTAATTAAAGGCGCCGTCCTTCTGAGTTCACTGCCATCTTAACGTTCTATTTTTGACGGGAAGCGACGGCTGCCTTAGTTCCAGGCTTTCTCTGCCAGTCCGGTCGCCGTCGCCCCGAAAACGTCTCCGTCTTAAGTTCCCTGTTATCAGGGCTTCCTCAACGTGCGCGTGCGTGGCGAGTGTTTCTATCTTTATATCAAGATGAAATGTATCAGTCATTCTTTCATTTTTCATGCATTGAAGCAATGAACTGTTTTATCTAACAGCATGTCCAAATATGGCAATCCTGACAGGGACTTCAGGCATCATTAAAAGTCCATTTTACCCAGGATATTATGGTAATGGCCAGACATGCAGCTGGAAAATCACAGCAAGCAGCGGAAAACGCGTGAAGTTGGTCATTACAGACATGAACATAGAACTCGGTGGAAGTAATTGTGGCAAAGACTATATACAAATTCAAAATGGTTTCTTACATGGTATTGGTGTGCCTCCTGGGCGATTATGTGGGACACTAACTAGCAACTCGACTTTCGCTTCTTACCGGGAAACGTTGATAGTACGTCTTGTCACTGATGGTTCTTTAACTCGCCGCGGATTTAAAGCAACATACACACAGGTTACACTTGGCCGTAAGTAGACAGAACCATTTTGGTAAGGTTTTTGCACTGGTGTTCAACACTATTCCTTACTAAATTTATGTAGTTACTACAGTTGCTGTGCACTACGTGCGTATTGCTATTAAGAATAAATTCACTCTAACAGTGATTATTCTGCGCAGAATAAAAGCGATTGCAGAATTCTGTGTGTAAAAAGATAGATTTATCAATGTGGTATTTTTCCTTACAGCACCAAGCGCACCACCAGCTAATGTCCGAGGACACAACACAAGCTCTACCAGTGTTTGGGTAGATTGGGACAATGTTCCCCTCGCTGATCAGAATGGAATTATACTGAGTTACACGGTGACATACACGGCATTACCTAACGGCAGTCCAAAGATGGCCGTAGTGAGTGCTCCAACCACTCAAGCCAGCCTGACCGGTCTGACAAAATACAGAAACTATAGCATTACGGTCTTTGCCTCTAATGCACAGGGAGATGGAAATATCAGCCTACCTATCATAGTCCTCACAGACGAAGATGGTGAGTAGTTAATAGTGTCCTCGTGCATGGTCGGAAGCTAATTTCAGCTAGTAAAAAAAACACGTTGATAAGTTTCGCAACTAACGTTATTGAAAAAAAAAAAGGTCTGCAGAGGTCAGTAGGGTAAAGATTTTACAAGTCTAATTCGGTAAAAGTTTTACAAGCGTCATTTACAAGTCGGACCGTTGCTCTTACAAACCTAGGGGAAACAATTTTAGTAAAGAAAGTTACCAGTACAAATAACAAGTGTCCGTCTTCGCTTGTAGTTACAAGTGTAGCTCCACACTTGTATACAATACGGTAAGTATTTGATTTAACAAAGCTTCTGCGGAAGCATGAATAGCTTATAGTATACAAGAGCTCAACTTGTAAATCACAAGTGCAAGTTACAAGTCGCAAGTCACCTGAAAACATCGAGGAAGCTCATTGAAAAAATGGCACAAAAGTTAGTCTATGTATTTCTGCAGTGAAGAAGAACTTGATGAACTTTTAATATGTCGAATAGTTCGCCAACCACAAACTTTTGCAAAAATACGACCACTAGAAATCGGAAATCTAACGGAATTCCGACAGAAGTTTCTTTTCCTTGAACAAACCTTTATTAACAGGGCCGCATGTTGATCATGGAATGAGGCGCAACAGAGCTTTAACTGCCAGATAAAAAATAAATTCTGATATTTTTTCGTTTCCTTGGAGCAAATTCAATCTATCAGGTTATGCACTCATGTTGTGATGTCTCATTCTGCGTTGTTTCGGCAATGTTTAGACCTTTAAGCGAGGGGAGTTAATTTGATGGACTGATAACCCATTCAATGTTGCAGCTAAATTCAGAGACATAGCGGGCTTTCCCAATGTAAAAGAATGGGTTGAAAGAACTCACATTCCTGTTAACCCACCAAATTGCACGAAGACGCCTTCGTTAACCACCATCCCACCAAATTTATGCCAATGAAGCTATGGTCGCATGCCCAGATTACACGATCTATTTCCGATCATAGTGTTATTCACAGTATAAATCACGGGACAAAACGCCTAAATCCATCAATTAGAAAAGATTCCGCGATGAAATAGAAAGCTTGTGTGTAAAAAAAATTTCTTCTATCCAATAAAAAGAATCATCGTTTATTATGTCCTCTTATTAGTAATAAAAAAGACATAAGTAAGCTACACGTTTAAAAAAAGTATACAATAATTTCGTACATTTATAAATTGATTTTTCGATTTATTCATTCTTTTGAGACAGTGGGGTGTATCGCTCTTAAGGAAGAATATCACTCTAACACTGACCATTCCACGCAAAACAAACTTAACTGGAGAGTTGGATCTGCGAATCTTTTGACTTATAAAAATTCATTTTGTTCTTTTAGAACCAAACGCACCACCAGATAATGTCCAAGGACACAACACCAGCTCGAACAGTATTTGGGTTAACTGGGACATTGTTCCTGTGGCTGATCAAAATGGAATTGTTTTGACTTACACGGTGATGTACACGGCGTTCCCTGGCGGTATTCTACGGACGGCCATAGTGAAAGCTCCAACCACCCACGTTACACTTAGAAGTTTGGAGGAATACACAAACTATAGCTCTTGGTGTTTGCATCTACTGTGAAGGGAGACGGAAATGCCAGCGATCCAATCATTGTTACCACAGACGAGGACAGTAAGTTGCCAAAGTCCTTACGATACTTAATACTAAAACGAGGAATAGGTAAACGTTGAAACGTTGAAGTTTGGAGGAATATGCAAACTATAGCATCCTCGTGTTTGCATCTACTGTAAAAGGAGACGGAAATGCGAGCGATCCAATCATTGTTACCAAAGACGAGGACAGTAAGTTGCCAAAGGCCTTACGATACTTAACAATAAATAAAGGAATGCGTGCTCTTGGTAGTTATAATATATAGATTTGGCCAGGGCTAAACGCGTAGCTCCAATTAATAAATTTATAATTTAAATCAAACAATTGTAATTATCCACAAATCAGCCAACTGGAGAGATCCATATGACTTTAAAGGGTGGGGCTGGATGATTTTAGAGAAGAAATAATTTGTAAACAGCACAAACGTGAAACAACGTCTAAAATCTTACATCGATGCGAGTTAATAGTCTTAAATGTACACCTAAAAAATAGCAATAAGCTTTGATCACAGTAGATTAGGCGAGAAAAACAAATTACTCCCAAGCAAAATAACCTATTTGCCCACCTACACCACCTTTATTTGATAAGGGTAATTGGACAGTCCCGAAATATAATTTTATGCTATAAAGGCCGTTAAGAAACGATACTCCTCGATGGCAGACAATTTACAAGTTCTGCCTTTTCGATTTTACCTCTCTGTCTAAGAGAAAGGCCAAAATGAATTTTTTTTGTGTGACTCGCTACGAATTTACATTACAAATCTGGTAGCGTGTATTAACCAGCCTTCATCACCTCTGCGAGGTATACAGAACTATCAGTCGTGATGTTTGTTTATCGTTCAGACCTCGGACAGAGATTTATTCAATATTCAGAACGATCAAAGAGCGTGCTTCCCTTGCACAACAAGCTATAAAACGCTTTTATATAGAGAATTCACTTTTAGAAGGGACTGTACAGTCAGGTCAATCTGCCATTGTGTAGAAATAAGGGTAATAATGGGCTTTGAGCAAAGACTTTCGAAAACTCTTATTTTAATTCAATTTCCAAAATCACCCGTTTGGTCAGCCACTTCTGAATTTTCAGAATTTTGCCAAGCGCCAAACTTGCAATGCGGGCTGGCTGGTGTTTGAATAAACAGTACCCGGAGAATTACGCTTCGACATAAAAGAATTATTTATTTAAAAAATCAAGCACACCTAGTAGGAAGAGGTCTCGGAATAATTTTAGTTCCGCATTTTGATTCTAAAACACAAGAATCTTTTACACTATTCATACACGCAGCATTTTGAGTACTCCTGCATGCGATTCTTGTACGGCTAAAAACAACCGGCAAAGCGATAAGAAAGAGATTTCAAAAACAATCAAGACAGGGTATGTAATTCAATGAAACATTTAAAAGGACAACAATTTTTATTCACGAAGACATAATTTCAGAGTGACGTGTACCTGAAAATCTTGAGTCATGAATAAAACCTTGCAGATTTAAATTAATATGAACTCGAGGCAAAAAATATCTTCAAAGCATTCTTTTTACAACCAATATGATAACTAAATATTCTTCAGAACGTTTTCTTTCTAGTCGCAGTCAGAAAATGTCTAAAGACGTTTGAGGTTCTGTACCAGGTTAGATCATTGTCTGAAATCTTACAAACGTGCGCAAAGTGACGGCATAAAGAACGCTCGGCTTAATGAAACCTAAAAAAACAAAAAAAAAAACATCAGATGCTATATTTTTACTTAAGCTTAAGCTAAGTCGAGGTGCAGCTCCTGAAAGCTATCAAGTAAGATCAGAATCGCAAAAGACTTTTGAACCCTCTTATGCATCAAGGTGAAGTACAGAGAGAACCTTATTATTGAAATGGGGGATTTCCGAATACTTTTTTGTCAAGCGGCGCATTTCTCGACCAAAACCCCCCAAAACACGCCAGACATAAATTACAAAAGATTCTTGATAGCAGATGTATTTCATAACGTAGATCCAGTTTAAAAAGACGGTTAAAACACAATAAGATCAGACGACACTCAACTCTGTTAGCTTCAGCTAGAGTCTATCAGTAAACAAGTTTCCAGATGGTGCATAAATTGTCCACATGAACTCACCTGTCAAATTCTGACCAATCTGGGATAGGAATGGGACGTACAGCGTGACCGACGCGTGGCGTTGCCTAATAAAATAGTATTAAGGTGTAATATAGCAACAACAACAACAACAACAACTGACACCAATTTCGCTGGAAGAAAAACACGAAAATCTTATAGCGACGGTGCGAAAATGAGAAATGTTAGCGGCCACTAAGGTGAAAATGAGCGGCAGTGAAAAGCCAATGTGAACAGGAACACAAACATTTCCTTTACGGGTAACTACGACGTTTCTGGAAATTTATGTTTTACTCGTGCAAAACAACGGCAGGGAAAAGTACAAAAAAAGTGTGCTACACGTAAACGGCTGTTTTTTTTTTTTTTTTTTTTTTTCAAATTAGTTCTATTACTGTTGTTTTTTACCTCACTCGTTGTCTTCACCATTTCTTCAGTATTTAAAAAACGATTTTATATTTTCTTTGAGTAAACTATAAATATTGAAGCGAGCTACTTTTTTTGGCCCTGGCTAAATCTATATATGAACATGAATGAGCAATATCATCCCACACTAGCTTACTTCCAACATTTCTCGAATGGATAGAACCAAATTTTCTCAGCCATCTAGCAAAGTTATAACATACTCCTCCCTCGAAGGGATGACACCTGACTCCCTTCCCTCTCCCTCACAGTTTGTACGGTCAGCGTTCATTCGTACGCCGAGTCATTACTAGATAGATTGCCAAATTTTCTTAGCTATGGGGCTCTGATCGCGAGGCCCGCAGAGCTTCGCTAAAAAGGTCAAAGTACTAGCTTGAAGTTAAAACAAAAAAATATACAAGATAGAATTTTGGACATTTTTTTTAGACAGAAGGGTCTAGCGCTCTTTAGGAACAATATCACTCTACCAAACAAACAAACTTGACTGAGAGTTGGGTGTGCGAACCTTTTAAATTATAAAAATGCATTTCGTTGTTATAGAACCAAGCGCACCACCAGTTAATGTCCAAGGACACAACACAAGTTCAACCAGTATTTGGGTAGACTGGGACACTGTTCCTGTGGCTGATCAAAATGGAATTATACTGACTTACACGGTGACGTACATGGCGTTCCCTGGCGGCATTCCAATGACCGCCGTAGTGAGTGCTCCAACCACCCACGTCACACTTAGCAGTTTGGAGAAATACACAAACTATAGCATCTTGGTGTTTGCATCTACTGTAAAGGGAGATGGAAAAGCCAGCGATGCAATCATTGTCCCCACAGACGAGGACAGTAAGTTGTCAAAGGCCATACAATACGTAACAATAAAAAAGGGGAGGATGTCCTCTAATTTATTACAAAAAGCTGCTTAAGTAGCTAAAAGTTAAAACAAAAAGTGTAAAAGTTAAATTTTGTACATTTCTTATTCTTTCTTCATTTTTTGAGGACAGTGGGGTTGTATCGTTCCTTAAGAAAGATATCACAATAACAATTCCGCGCCAAACGAACTTGACTGGTGATTCGGGTGTGCGAATCTTTTAAATTATAAAAATGCATTTTGTTGTTATAGAACCAAGCGCACCACCAGTTAATGTCCAAGGACACGACATAAGCTCCACCAGTATATGGGTAGACTGGGACACTGTTCCTGTGGCTGATCAAAATGGAATTATACTTAGTTACACGGTGACGTACACGGCGTTCCCTGGCGGTATTCCACGGACGGCCGTAGTGAGTGCTCCAACCACCCACGTCACACTCAGGAGTTTGGAGGAATACACTAACTATAGCATCTTGGTGTTTGCATCTACTGTGAGAGGAGACGGAAATGCCAGCGATCCAATCATTGTTACCACAGACGAGGACAGTAAGTTGTCAAACGCCTTACGATACGTAACAATAAAAAAGAGAAAGGTTTCCTCTAGCTAGTTGCAAAAAGGTCAAAGAAACTAAGCCTTAAAAGAAAAAGTATATTAGCAGTAGCCGTTGTCTAGGAAGTGCGGGCGAACATGTGGGTTTTCCTTGGAGATGTGATAAATGAGATCCGGTTTTATAATTGGACAGGTGAATCAGAGAAAACCCTTTTAGGGCCTGTTTACAGGACCCCAGGCAGGTGAGGTAACATGTGGCGGGTCACCCCGCCTAACATGTAAACGTGATCACATTAAAATGAGAGATTATATGGACAGGCGGGTTACTCCACCTGAGCGGGTTACCTCACCTACCTGGGGTCCCCCACCTCCATGTTAACAGGCCCTTAGTTCCAGTTTCAACAAAAGGAATTATAAAAAGTTCAGTTGTTTCGATATAGTTTTTCAGAGGCCATACCGATATTTTTCAATCGCTTTAAAAGTGATTTATCGTTGTCTAATCTGTATAAATTTTTCACCAATGACTGACTATAGATTGAATTTTGTCAAAATGAAGGGTTTAGTAAACTCGATATTACTATGACAACAATAAACACTAGGAACTTAAAGTTTGGTGTTTAGCAAATAACCTATGTAAGAAGTAAAAAGTTCTGTATGTTTGAATTCGACTAAAACGAAAATGTATTTCACACTCTTAAATTTTCAATAGCCGTGAGAGATTATTTAATAAAAACGCTATAAATGACTCAAATTACTCTTAAGCAGTGTCAGAATGCTGCTTTATATCATATTTCGATGCTAGGAAGTTTTGGTGTATTTTCGTTCTTGCGGTCTGAAGGCCTGCTTACAACCCGCTTTGGTGAAAGTCGTCTTTCGAATGATTACAGCAGTTCTTGTACAGTTCTCTTTCACCCGCTGATAGACGAAGATGCTCTTCCTGTGCTCTTACAGCAGCTACCTTTTGTTCCTCTTGAAGATTCGCCGTCTCTTGAATCAAATTGCTGTTTTTTGTGACATGTCCAGCACAGGTCCATAGCCGGGCGCATGATCAAAACAAACGGGCAAAGTTGATTCCATAAGTCTCAAAACTTAGAGTAGCCGACAGAGGTGTAACCTTGACTCGCACATATCCCTTCGTATGTTTTCCACAAGCTGTATTTTGTTAAAATAGATGGCAGAAGTTTCACATTCACTCTTTTAAATCCATTGCTCCACAGCAATGTTCATAATGAATTTAACAACGTTCTCCACAGTTTCGATAGAAGACGCGCTACTTGGTAAACGCTTACTGTTTCCTTGAACTCGCAATGTGCGTCCATTTGTCTTATAATGTTTCACATGGCTACAAAACCTTGTTCGGCTGGCTGAATGTAAAAATAAAAATGTTTCTTTACAAATCCTTCTACCGTGGTAAAAGAATACCATTCTTGTCCGCTCGCGATGTTTTTCTGTTCTTCCTGACAAGCTGACGTCGCCACAGTGCAAAGAACTTTGAATTACTCCAAGAATAACAAGATCGAGCTCTGCTGAAGAAAACTCCTGGCAGTTGTTCCGACTGTCATAAAAGTCGTCTCTTGAGAGGATAGTGCTACATGCCTCTCCTTGTTCTGCTAACTTACACTTGCAAGTATCCGCAATGAATTTTTCAATCTTTTCTTTCTCCGGTGACTCAGCTTCTCCCATCTCGATACATGAGTTCCTTTTCATTATCACTTTCTGAGCTGCTCTCTTCTAGAAAGAAATTTTCTGGCTCTTGATTTTCTTCAGTTTCTCGCTCACCAAAATACAGTTCTTCGACGCGTTCCAAACTTTCAAAATCTTGCGAATTTAAACGCATCAATGTGCCATTTCGTGAACGCTCCATCGTAACTGATGAACTGTTTCTGTACTCAAGAAACGATTGATAACACATTCATGCGTCAGTGATGCGTGCAACAGAGACAAACATCAGTTAATTAATGACAGTTTTACCGCTTTTTGAATAGTAAACAAAAAAAGTGTCTTTTTTAAACAAAATTCCGAAATTGTATGGTGCTTTTTTGTTTGATTCTTTGTTTTTGCCACGATAATACGGCGTGTTTAGAATACTAAAGCTCGATCCGAGAATTAAATCACACACTGAGAAAAGATAAAAAGAACCAAATTAAAAGTAGTCCGAGTGAAATTCTTGAAGGAAATCATTTGTTCGATAAAGTTCGGTCATTGAATCTCGATCTAAAAAAGTGACGGTCAAGCTGCAAGTGATGTCATTTGAAGTTATGTCGTCCAAAACCTGATAATATGAGTTTTGTCGCCCAAAATTCACAGAAAAAGTCCCCCGCTATCCTCACTCATGTCTTAGCATGGTATTACCTGAGACTTATTGCGCTTGTTTCGTGGTCTCATCAAAGTTAAAAAAAAAAAAAAAAAAAACGAAACATATTCTATAGTACTGACTGAATTATCGTTATTGTTTCGTTTGTTGTGAACGCAGGGACGGAAATATGGAAAAACGGGCTTACCAGGATGTACCCGCTAACGGAAACACGTTTTCCGCTGTGTTTCTCGCAACGGAGTCTAGTATTCTACAGTGTTTTTAGTTTACAGATTCTTGTTTTTTTCGTCCTGTGAAGAAGGAGATATAGTACACGTTTACAGCGCTTGATTCGTCTTAGCATAGCGTAACGAGATATCTTCCCATAAATTATGATTGATAACGCTTCGTTCGTCAGGGGCACCTAACGACGATCTCCTCCTAAATGCATCCTAGCATCCTAGGACAACTTCAGTCTTTTCGAAATTACAAGGGCTTCAGCATTATTTTCCCGAAAAATTTAGCTTCTAATTGAAAGATTTAGGAAAGTGAGAATTTTATAGTATTTTCGGTTCCGAAAATTTTAGGATTCTTTAATTCTCTAAGAAAAATAGCTTGGCCTGGGGAGTGAAATGGAACAAATTAAACTTCAGAAAATCGTAAGAAATTTATCAGAGAAGCTTCGAAAATTGTACATGCATGGAACGGTCATGTAGAAATGTTTAGCCTTCCTCAACATATAGAAAATTCTAGGCAGTTTTTGTTTCTCCGATTTAATTACCTTCGTTCGTCTCAGCATGGCTTAAAGAAATATATTAAACTAATTTATTCAACTTTATTTCTCTGTGCATTACTGCTAATAATATTCCGGTGGCATAATTATAATTTTCAGGCGACATAACTTCAGTGCCTCGCATGCGATAGCAGGCCTCTTTGCGATTCCGGTCAACAACCGACCGCCGGAGGAATTGGTTTACACTGTTAATTACAGGCTAGACGACCATTAAGTGGTGATTTTCAAATGGCTACGGTTACGATCAAATTCCAAAACAGTCTCAATTGGTATATTTGATTCACTTCGACCAGTTATCAATGCTGATTAAATCCGCTGAAAACCCAAGCCATTTTTATCATCTTAGCAGTTTTAGTAATCAAGCGTGTTCAGCGTGTCTTACCCAAATTGCACGCTAAGCGTGCTATAATTCGCACACTTACCGTGACATATTGCACGCTACAAAAAAACAAAAGGTCTAGCGTGTTAAATTTACCAAAACAAAGGCAAGTGTGTCCGTCTTTGTTTTTTCAATTTGATATGCGCATATCCGTGATCTACGGCACGCTAGGCGTGTCGTGCAAGCGTGTCGTGAGCGTGCTTTCACCTTTAGCATCAAATTTCTGTGGAGGGTCACATTTGATCACGTTTACATTATATTTGGGGTAACCTGCCGCACGTTACTTCACCTATATTGGGTCCCCCACCTCAATGTAAACAGGCCCTTAAAAACTAACCCGTTTTCTCACCACCTGTCTAAGTGCAACTTCATTCAAAATCCACGCTACAACATTCACCGTTTTAACGTTATGCTAATTTGTCCAAATTTAATGCGGAAAATACATACCTTCATAACTAGTACATTTTAGTTTGAATGTATCGCATCTTTTGAATGTAAAACATTGACAATACTCACACTGAAATGTACTAGTCATGAAGGAATGTATTGTCCGCATTAATTTGGAAAAATAGCATAACGTAAGAACAGTGAATGTTGTAGCGCAGATTTTTTTCCGGCTCGTAGGATAGGTTTGTTTCCTGAAATGTCAAGGTGTTGCAGTGAGTCAATCTTAATGAAAGTTTCAGACATTATATACATTATGAAGATTATGTGAAGGGATTTTAAAAAACTTTCTTACCAGACGTTTCAGAGATATACAACAAAGCGCTAAAAGTCCAAATTTTGAATGAAGTTGCACTTAGACAGGTGGTGAGAAAACGGGTTAGTTTTTAAGATCGCATGAACAAAAATACACCAAAATTTCCTAGCATCAAAATATGATATTAAGCAGCATTCCAACGCTACTTAAGAATAATTTGAGTCATTTATAACGTTTTTGTTAATTAATCCATCACGGCTATTGAAAATTTAAGGTTTGAAATATATTTTCGTTTTAGTCGAATTCAAACATACAGAACTTGTTGCTTTTTACGAAGCGTATTTGCTAAACACCAAACTTCAAGTCCCCGGTGTTGGACTTTCAGTAGCTGGTCTAGATCGCGCAAAATTAGGGGTTTATCAATTTCAAAATTTTTGTTTATTGTTGTCATAGTAATATCGATTTTACTAAAACCTACATTGTGACAAATTTCAATCCGTAGTCAATCATTGGTGAAAGTTTTATAGCGATCAGACAAGGATAAAACCACTTTTAAAGCGATTGAAAAATATCGGTATGGCCTCTGAAAAACTGTATTCACAGTATTCACAGTTGCTTAGATATACTAAGCCTGCGGACGGTGAGGAGCGAGGAGAGACGGCTGTATTCACAGGCAAAGATACAATGAGAGAGTGATGCGTGACACAAGTAATGAGTGTATACACCAGTCATGACTGCACGAAGTCGTTTTATTCAATCAAATATTCAAACTGTGTTCAATGAACAAAGGCCGTTGATATGCAACAGAAAATCATGAAACGGCTTAAATAACCACTGGA